AATATCCACTTTTTTAAAAACCATTCTTGTTTCATCTATTTCCCTCACCCCCACCTAGTCACTCTTTGGGGGGCTGGATTGTTTTAAAACAAATCCCAAATATTATGTCATTTCAACCACAAATATTTCAGTATCTGTAATTTTAAAGGACTTAACCACCATGCCATTATCGTAGCTAATAAAATTGACAGTAATTCCTTAATATAATCTAATACTCGTCTGTATTCAAATGTCCCTAATTAAAAGATGAATTTTTATGGCTGGATTTGTAGAAATTGGGGGAATGTTTTTCAGCAAACAAGACAGTTCTCAATAGTCAAACCAACAGGCTAGAGATCTAAAGTGTAGGATCTAGAGACACGTTAAACCCGATGGCATTGGAATTTGCTTTTGAAGTCTGAATTTCTCCTGGCTGCAATAAGAACTTAGGGTTTCTGAGAAACATACTGGCAGAAGCAGTTTCAGGGGCAAATCCAATTACCTCTGAGTTGTTCTTTTAACGGTAAGTTCTGTTCCGTGCTCTGCAGGTCAAGAGCAGTTCAGATTTCTCTCTGCTCCCATTTGAGTCGTACTTCAGGTCTGCCTCCTGCTTGTTGTAGCTCTACACATAACACACCAAGGGGCAGAGATCTGGTTTCCACACAATGGCCCATCATTCAGCCAGATTCTGCTTTGTCCCTAAATATTCATTCTCCCTGGCTCCTGCTGGGTCTGTTATATTCAGATATGAGCTTTCCAGGAATCTGATCATGTCACAGGCCTTTTTCTGTATGACAAGTTCAATGCTAATCATGAATAGCAGGCTTCATGCAGAGGTTTAGTATTATTCATGAAAATTGTGACTCCACATCCAGAAATAGGGCAAAAGTGGCCTAAAATAGGCAGGTTGTATCTCTGTTAAATCCGCCAGGCAATTACCAACGTCTCTTGCTACAAACTACACAAGAGATTTTGCTCAACTATGTTAATCAGACACACTGGAAGCACAATATGCTGCCAGACACTATGTCTGAGGTCCAGCCTGATGGGGAGCCCTGGTCCCCACAGGGTAAACTGAAGGGTTTTCCAAAGAACCAAAGCCAGACACCACCCACCCTCTATCCCCAGAAACCAGGTACTATAGAGCTCTCATTCCCAACTTCTACAAATCTCTGCCCAGACCAACTCAAGGCTAGCTTTAGAGATTTTAGAGGGTTATCAAGGGGCCACAGAAAAATTGAAATAATATTTAATTTTCCTTTTTTGGAACAGTAAAGCATATCTGGTAAATATTACAAATTAGACGCATACTAAGTGGTTTATAGCATTTTGTTATAATGATCTCTTCTGGAACGTGCTTTCAATGACCACATGAATCAGCTCCTATTGGCCCAGATTATATTTTAGAAATACAAGTCGAAGATTATCTTTCCAAATAAAAGTGCCCAGATTGAAACCCCCTCTTTACCACTCCCAAGAGAATGACACAGGCTGGTACTAAAAGACTATCTTTGTGTTGAACAAATGGACCGAGGAAAATCTGCTTTCCTCTCCCTCTGCCTCTTTCTTCTTTACATAACTAGAGGCAAATGAGATGTTTTTCATTTTAAAAATTTGATTAAGCAGACTGAGCAAAAGCCCATTCTTCTGGTCTTTACTGTTTTCTCAATTTGGGGACTGGAAGAAGGCACACTCAGGTTGGAAGGATAGTGAAGCTAAGCCTGAACTGCCAGGCAGTGTTGACATCTGGGCGTTTAAATTACAAAAGGTGAGCACTATGTCTGCAGCACTGGTAGGGGGCTGCCTTTCCCCCTGAAGGCCTCAGAATTCAGATGTTATTCCAGGTACTAGTGAAAGGGTTCCCAGGTCCCATATACAAGCCTCCTGACCTGAGAGGTGAGAAAGATGGCAAGGCAAAGGGTAGGTTTAAATAATAAGAAAAAAAATAACCCAGATAGAATGTTATGAACGCACTGTCTTTTTCTTCAGCTCTAGGCACTGAGCTCTTTTGGCATATTTTAAAATACATTATATATACTACATTAATAGACTCCTTATAGAACCAGATCTTCCTTTAGTTTCTGTGGTTCAAACCTTCTGCAAGAGCTTTCTACACACAGTATTTTCTCTACCTTGTTTAAAAGTACAGTCATGTATCTCTTAGGCAAGGATTCGTTCTGAGAACTGCATGGTCATATAATTTTGTTGTTGTGTGACCATAATAGAGTGCACTTGCACAAACTGAGATGGGATAGCCTACTACACACCTAGTCTATAATGGGATAGCCTGTCACTCCTAGGCTACAAATCTGAGCAGCATGTTACTGTACTGAATACCGTAGGCAACTGTAACATAATGGTAAGTACTTATGTATCTAAGCATATCTAAACATAGAAAAGGTACAGTACAAATACTGTATACGAGATAAAAATTCGTTTACCTGTATCATGGCACTTGCCATGAATGGAGCCTGCAGGACTGCAAGTTGCTCTGGGTGAGTCAGTGAGTGAGTGGTGAGTGAATGTGAAGGCCTAGGACATTGCTGTACATTACTGTAGACTTTATAAACACTGAACATTTAGGCTACACTAAATTCATTAAAAACTATTTTTCTTGAATAATAAATTAACCTTAGCTACTGTAACTTTACTTTATAAACTTTTTAATTACTTTAGCATTTTGACTATTTCATAATAACACTTAGCTTACAACACACATTGTATAGCTGTACAAAAATATTTTCTTCCTTTCTTTATATCCTTCTTTTTCTTTTTTCTTTTTTTTTTGGAAACAGACTCTTGCGTTGGCCAGACTGGAGTGCAGTGGCATGATCTCGGCTCAATGCAATCTTTGCCTCCCAGGTTCAAGTGATTCTTGTTGCTCAGCCTCCCAAGTACCTGGGATTACAGGTGCATGCCACCAAACCTGGCTAATTTTTGTGTTTTTAGTAGAGATGGGGTTTTACTATGTTGGCCAAGCTGGTCTGGAACTCCTGGCTTCAAGTGATCTGCCCGCTTCAGCCTCCCAAAGTGCTGGGATTACAGGTGTGAGCCAACGTGCCCAGCCTTTATATCCTTCTTCTATAAGTTTTTTTATTATATTTTTTAAATGTTTTACTTTCGTTTACTTTTTAAACTTTTTTGTTAAAAACTAAGACACAAACACACACAATAACCTAGGCCACACAAGGTCAGGATCATCAGTATCACTGTCTTCCACCTCCACATTTTGTCCCACTGGAAGGGGACAATAACACACGTGGAGCTGTCATCTCCTGTGAAAACAATGCCTTCTTCTGGAATACCTCCTGAAGGACCTGCCGGAGGCTGTTTCACAGTTAACTGCTTTTTTAATAAGTAGAAGGAGTATACTCTAAAATAATAGTAAAAATATAGTATAGTAAATACATAAACCAGTAACATAGCTGTTTACTATCATTATCAAGTATGTCCTATACATAATTGTATGTTATACTTCTGTGTGACTGGAAGTACAGTGGGTTTATTTGTACCAGCATCACCACAAACACATGAGTAACGTGTTGCACTATAATATCAGTAGGCAACAGAAATTTTTCAGCTCCATTATAATCTTTATACACATATATAAAGACTAGTCCATGCCTGTAATCCCAGCACTTTGGGAGGCCAAGGCGGGCAGATCACCTGAAGTCAGGAATTCAAGACCAGCCTGACCACATGGAGAAACCCCGTCCCTACTAAAAATACAAAACTAGCCAGGTGTGGTGGCACATGCCTGTAATCCCAGCTACTTGGGAGGCTGAGGCAGGAGAATCACTTGAACCCAGGAGGTGGAGGTTGCAGTGAGCCGAGATGGCACCACTGCACTCCAGCCTGGGCAACAGAGTGAGACTCTGTTTCAAAAAAAAAAAAAAATGATTAGTCAAGTGCAGTAGTGAAAAGGGAAGAAAGAAGGAAGAAAGAAGAGTAGAAAAAGAAGTGTGATCTGTAACTGACTGAACAATCAGTTTAAATACTCCATATGGGACCACCACTGTATATGTGGTCTGTTTTGTGTGGTGCATGACTGTATCTTTTTAAGATTCCTCCTATACCATACACTCCCGAAGGTCAGCGTATCCTATTGTCTTTGTAGTTTGCATATAATAAACAGTGAATACAGGTGCCGGGTGCGGTGGCTCACACCTATAATCCCAGCACTTTGGATCATGAAGTCAGGGGATGGAGACCATCCTGGCCAACATGGTGAAACCCCATCTCTACTAAAATACAAAAATTATCTGGGCATGATGGCACGTGCCTGTAGTTCCAGCTACTGAGGAAGCTGAGGCAGGAGAATCGCTTGAACCCAGGAGGCGGAGGTTGCAGTGAGCTGAGATCGCACCACAGCACTCCAGCCTGGAGACACAGCAAGACTCTGTCTCAAAAAACAAAACAAAACAAAACAAAACAAAACAAAACCAGGGAATAAATGAATGAAACAGTTAGAAAACAGGCATTTTAGTAAAAGGCTGAAGAAACTGGGTTGTGAGTTATTATTATAAACAGTAGAACATGTTAGGCTAATGTGGGTAAAAGAACTACCACATCAGCTTTGTATGGTATTTAACAAGGTATTTACCAAATATCACTTCTGGGGACCTATTCAAATCCAAATAATAAGTAGTGCCATCACTGAGTTTCACTATGTATAAAGATGTTCATTCCAAAAAGTACAAGATACTTTTTCTCCTAGCCTGCTTCTGAGCGGTTGCCCTCTCTATCCCTCAAAGAATCAGAAATTAACCAAAAGTAGGAATTCTCATGGGGCTTACCCATCAAGGGAATACCTTTAGAATGAGGTGCCAAGGAAATCAGCATTCCTATTCCTGAAAAGCCTCAACAAGAGAAGTGAAAATCCTCAACCCAGGAGGGCTTCTCCTTTCACATGCTCCATGAAATCCACCAGCCTAACTACCTGACTCTGGCAGGGGCCTCCCTCTCCGCACTCTTAGTGTTCACAGTCCTGTAAACCATCACATTGGGTATTACAGTCTTACTCTGGCAAGCAGGTATCTCACAGTACTTCCAGTAGACACCATCCTCGTGCTCTGCCACATAGCACCAGGGGCTCACGTCTCCATCTGGGTTTCTGTTGGGGAAAAGGACAAAACTGATGACTTCTGATGTTTTAATTCAGCTGGTTCATTGCTTTTCAGTTTTACAGAAAAGGAAATGCTTTAGCTTCTGTATTCTCTCTAATAGTTGGTCTGTATCTCAGTGCTGTCTCTCATCAAAGGGAAAAAATGGTAATATTACAAGAACAAATATATCTGCTCTGACAGATACTTCAGAGTTTGGGGGGAAGTGAGCAAAGGTAATATATGTTTAGGCAAATTCACTGTAGTATAACTAGGACAAATGGCCACTGCACACATCATGCCAAATAGCACTGGCACCTTGAATGTGAACGTGGAGATTCCAAGGCTGAGTGAGCATAGGGGCTCTCAGCGCTGCTGATGAATATGTGAACTGACACAAATGGTCAGAGCAGCAATTTGGGAATTAGAGCCAAAGGACCTAGAAATATGCAAGCCCCCCACTTGGCAATTTCTTCTTTAGGAATTTATTCTAAGGAAATCTTATCTATAAAGATGTTCAACAAAACACTTTTATAATATAAAAAAACAGGTGGAAATAGCAAATATCCAACAACAAAGGACTGGTTAAATAAATTGTATATCCATAGAAGGGAATATGTGATATAGAGACCAGTCTTATTAATTTGCAAATATATTCACAATGCCTTGTGAGGCTTTTTTTTTTTTTTTGAGATGGACTCTCACTCTGTCACCCGGGCTGGAGTGCAGTGGCGTGATCTCGGTTCACTGCAACCTCCAACTCCCAGGCTCAAGCGATTCTCCTGCCTCATGCCTCCCAAGTAGCTGGGACTACAGGTGCCCGCCGCCATGCCTGGCTAATTTTTGTTTTTTTTGTTTTTAGTAGAGGTGGGGTTTCACCATGTTGGCCAGTCTGGTCTCCAACTCCTGACCTCAAGTGATCCGCCCATCTCAGCCTTCCAAAGTGCTGAGATTACAGGCATGAGCCACCATGCCTAGCCTTCTTAGATGTGTTTTTGAAGAGGCAGTTATAAAACCCAATAGATGACATAATCCCATGTTTTGAAAAGACTTATTTAGGAAAGAATGTACACCAAACTCTTATAAAGTGTCTCTAGACACTGGAACTATTGGTGATGTCGACTTTTTTCTTTTCTGGTTTTATTTTATTTCCTCTATATTGAATACTCCAATGGTGTAATTTTTAAACAGTAAAATAGAATTCACTTAATAAAGACTCCACTGGGCTGGGTGCAACAAGAGCAAAACTCTGTCTCAAAAATTAAAAAATAAAAATAAAAATAAAATAAAGACTCCACTGACAAGCTTTCACTAGGATCAGGCTCACATTTGCTAGAAATGGGTGCTATTCCTTCCTCAAAATGCTGACTACTCAGAGAATACTGAAGAAAACTGCGTCAGTCTCAGCTAGAACTTGTGATCCTGTCATGAGGTACCAACTTCTGATATGGGGATAATATTTTTAAAGATCTATTTCACATTTCTAAATGAGAATGGCCTGGAGTAAATATGCTTTAAGGTCTTTCCAACTCATAGGTGGCATAACAATAACAAGCAACACTACTGAAACAGATAAATAAAATGGCAGGGGCTATTGGACACACAGAAAAGCCTCGCCTCTCTTCACTGCTTTCCAAGCCCCTTTTATTTAGACTCAGAACACTGGAAAGCTGACACTCCGGTTAGGCCGGAAATGGGCATAAAGATCCTGCAACAGGAGCTGGGAGTAACCCCTATCAGGCCACAGTGGACTAAGCCTACCGTGTATCCTAGAAGATAAGCTTTCCCAAAGTACAAAGCGTCTTTTTGTTTCTTGTGCCCAAAGGCAGGTGCCAGCACCAACTCTGCTCTTCCCCAGTCTCTGCCTTCCCTTCTAAGCCAGTTACTTTGAGCCCAGAAAAGTGCATTCCCATCACTCGCCAACTCTCAGACATCTCTAATGTGATGGGTCTGAAAAAGTCACACAAAACAAACATGGTGTCGGGTGTCAGCTGAGAAATCAAAGTAGGAAAACTTGTACAAAGCCCTTCTTTAAACAGTAGTTTACTGTCATTTTCCTCCCTTTATTCAGTGTTCAGCTTTGATGTATTTATTTGGTAAAGCCCTTAGAAAACTGTTTATTACCAATGTCAAAACCATATTGAAAAGCATCAGAATAGCTTAATAAAGAACAAGCAAATTCATCCTTGACTTTGCTGCAGTGCTAAAACAAAAGGCCTGGACTCTTTGATGTGATAATCAACAATTTCAGCCTCCCTTTTCCAAAGTACAAACTGGTATTAAATAGTTCAGGTCTCCTGCATTCCATCAAATCAAACGAGAGGGTTTGATTTGATGGCTGACCAGGGCTAAGGAGAAAGGTGGTCCCTCCTGGCTCTCACTGCTCTCTTAATGGATGTTTACAGTACATTTCTAGGAGCCTGTGAGTAGAAGTGGGTGCTAATCCACACGAAAGAAAAATTTTTCACATAAATTAGGCCTCACTGGAAACTTAAAATTTACCTTAAAGTCAGACTTAAAAACATGAGCTCTTCTGAGAAGACTTGCTTGATAGGAAGCAACAGAGCAATAGAATAAACCAACAGCCTACTACCAAGAGACACTGTGGAACAAGAAGATGAGTAACTATGGAAAAACAAAATCCAAATACTTGTCTCTCTTCCTAAACACTCTTCTCAACCCAACCAACTATTCCTATGAATAGAAAACCTATGGGAAGGTAATAAAAATTGGGGTGGGACTAATTTTTTAATTTATGCAAAAGATAAATTAACATGTATAACTTGGAAAATAAAATATAAAATAATTATTTAATGAGCATGTGTAACTTGAACAATAAAAGACAACAGATAGCAAAACGTTGAAGGGGCAAATACCCAAATTGGTCGTCTCTGGGACTTGGGACTTGGTGGGGAGGGTTTCAGGGAAAATAGGTAAAATGGGGAACTCTAACTATTTAAATAACATATATTTGTACTGTTTGAGAAGTTTTTTTTTTTTTTTTAAGAACAAGCTTTTAACACTTTTATAACAAACAAAATAAGTCAATAGCAACTAGGAGGGAATGGTCAGTTGATACAAGATAGGCAAAGGTATAGGGATAAAGAAACCATAGACTAAAGGCCTGGTGACTTTGAGACAACTACAAGGGCCCTAGAGTGTTAGCAAAGGTATGCAGATGGCAGAAGGTAAACAGTGTGGCCCACACAATACAGGAAAATATATGTTGGCTCAGCTGCGTCAACAGTGCCATGGTTGAGATTCCAATGTATGTAGAACCAGGGACACGGTGTATAGTTCAACAATCATTTTCCCCTATCCCAATGGCTCAAGAGGCTGCCTTTGCACCTGTCCTACTAATAATTAAATTCAATGCATTGCTGAACCATGAGTCTCACTACTAGGATCTTGGGCATAAGCGGCACAAATGTATAACCAAAAATGCTTACAATCTTTGTTCTGGACCCTACATATCAATGATCCTGAATTTGTTTTCAATCACAGATAACTCTGAGAAGCTGATCAAAGCTATGGATCATCTCCACGAAATTGTGAATACACATTTGAAGCACCATGGATGTCAGGTTAAGATCCCCTGCTAGAGTCAGACAGGAGGTGAAAAGTGAAGTTAACACCTTAGTCTACTAAAAGGAAGTAAATGGCACACATCTGATGGATACAGCTGTTCCCAGAGCAAGGTTATCCTGGGCTGGCCGGAGATAGAATAATGTAGGCAGCTTCCTTTGCTCAGAAGCAGAGGGAGTTTTCGGTCACAGATGGTGCTGTTTGACCACAACATTCTCAGTAGCGTAGGCTGCTCTGCTAACTGTGTATTGTCCACTGGTGGTAGGGCTAACTAAGAAAACCCTTCAAAAGAGACAAAGAAGTGATCAGACAGAAAAGCAGAGCTTTGAAAGCTAGCATTAAAGCAACCCATGTTGAAAACAATGGTAAATTTGTGTGTATTTGTGTGTGTGTGTGTAAGGTGTGGAAGAAATATTTTAAAAACTGACAAGATAAGTCTCTTGAGTTGGCCAAAAGACTTTCTCTAGTTGTGAGCTGGGATGAAAGGGGTTGGAAGAAGAGACCAGATATATATCTATTGTTTTAAAGTACTGAGTGGTCCCATCTTACCTGCAATAGTTGTGCTCACCCAGGCCCCCCTCCCCGTTGGGGTATTTCAGAGTGTTGTATGGATGCTGGAAAGTCTCGTTCCAAAACAGACATGGCTTCCCGCCTTGTAGTGCTGTCCAGTTCTGTGTTCCCCTATAATCCGCACCATTGGCTGTGAAACACTCTAGAAGAAAGAAAAGACAGAGCAAACTAATTTTCTGGCGACATTCATAGTTTCCTCCCTCTTTGGTTGATGTTTTGTTTTGTTTGGACCAAGTTGGAAATGGATAGTGTCTTGCTAGATCCTGGACACAGTGCAGTTAACACTTCTGGGGCTGAACAAATCTGAAACAAGGTACCCTTAAAAAGCTAGGCTAATCTTGGCACTAGCTTGTCTACAGACACTAGAACATTTTCCCGTAAAGTATACAGATCCCAACTAGGACATAAACAGGGAGTTTAAGTGTACTGAAGCCCATGAAGTGAACCAGGAAACCCCCAAATCTGGGAACAGTTGGTAACAGCCATCCATGTGGAATTCTGGGTACTCGGAGGGGGTCACTGCTCTAGCCAGTGTCTCTGTGTGGTAACTAGAACCAGGTCACCAGCTGTAACTGAGCTCTCCCCTACAGTCTGAAAAGCTGCACTGACACTTGGATTTAATAAGACCATCGGATACAGCAATGCTTTGGAATCCCAATCACACAAATCTGGGAATGACTCACATTCCCTGGTAATGAAGAACAGTCCTCCCCATGCTGTTTGAGATAGAGGTGCAACAAAACAGACAATCAACATGAGGGAGGAAGGGCCGGGCTGGCATTTTCTCTCACCTCTTTCTGAAATTCTTTTGATGAGGCACATTGAAAATGGTCTCAGGTCCAATTTAATAAAATGACAAATCCTCACAGGTGCAACAATGTGTTTCTAAAATCTGCTTCTCAGACTTTGGGGGATGGGGACTGAGGCTGATAGGATTTTCACCCACATATTGCATGCATTAAACTCGAAGAGGTTCATGAGACAGGCACAGTACAAAGAACAACTTTTTAAAATGAGCTTAGTTGAAACTGACAGATAGAAGCACTTCAAACACTTCTTTAAGATATATCACTAGAAAACTGACAATCTGGGGGAGTTACACTAGCATTCTTAGCTGCATTTCTTTCCTTCTCCTGGCATGCACTGACCTATAACTTCCAGTATTAAAGACTCTTAATACCATCTCCTGTTGTCATCCATGTGCCTTCTCCAGTCTAAGCGTCTGAAGAACATGAACGCATTCTGGAAGATATTTCTTTTAATACTTCAATCTATACACAGAACATCTCTCTTCCAGCACCCCCTTCCTCCGACCATCCAGGCCCTGTGTTTTGTCTGGAATGGCACCATTTTATGGATAGTCAAAATAATCTGAACATCCACCTGTGCAGGAAACCCTAGCAATTTATTATTTATTATTTTTATTTTTTGAGATAGAGTCTCACTCTGTTGCCCAGGCTGGAGTGCAGTGGCGCAATCTCAGCTCACTGCAACCTCTGCCTCCCAGGTTCAAGCGATTCTCCTGCCTCGGCCTCCCTAGTAACAGGGATTACAGGCGCCCTCCACCATGCCCAGCTAATTTTGTGTTTTTAGTAGAGACAGGGTTTCACCATGTTGGCCAGGCTGGTCTCAAACTCCCAACCTCAAGTGATCCGCCCACCTGGGCCTCCCAAAGTGCTGGAATTATAGGTGTGAGCCACCATGCCCCGCCAACCCTAGCAATTTATCATGTCTGGTACAACACTCATGTGTTATGATAAGTGCAATTCTTCGTGTACCATGAGGACCAAACCCTGCTACCAAGAGTCTGCATAAATAAGTTCAAAGGAGGCATAAATTGAAGGAGGCAGCTCAGTGTAGCATAAAATGCACTAAACCAAGAGACTAAGCCTTGGCTTCTTGTCCTGGACCTGCTGCTGACCAGCTGTGCGACCTTGGATGAATAAACATCATCCAAATCACTTCTAATATTTACACAGTGTTTTACCATGTGCCAAACTCTATCTAAGTGCTTTACAAATGTCAACTTGCCACCAACCCAGAGAGGTACCTTAGTACCCCATTTTGCAGATAAGGGAACTGGGCACTCGACCATACCCTATACTGCCTCTAATGGAACCTCTTCGGCATCATTCTTGCTTCCCCCATTCTCTCCCTCACTCCACTTCCGATTTTCGTCAGCAAGTCCTGTTGACTTCCCTAAAACATATACCCTGAAACTGCCTTCTCCTCTCCATCTTTGATGCCACCAGTATAGTCCCTTTTATCATCAGAGAACTGTTTGGGTCTCACAGCTTCCACTTTTGTTCTCTTACAATCCATTCTCCATAGTTCTTAAGAGAATGATGGCACTCAAAACAAAACTCAGACTCTTCCTTGGTGTGTGCAAGGCCTCTGTGATGCAGCCTCAGCCCCTTCCTCCCACTGAAGCAGAGCTCTTCCCTTACTCATTCGCTGTGCTCCAGCCACCCTGGTCTGCTTTTAATTCTGTGAACACACTATGCTATTTCCTGCCCAAAATATTCTTCCCCTAATACTTCCCATCACAGACTAAATACTACCTTCTCAGAAAACCCTTCTTATCATCTTTACTCCTATTTTTCTGCCCTTTGTTTGCTTCACAACACTTACTATCACAAGGAATATATGTGATCTGAGAGAGAGAGAGAGAGAGAGAGAGAGAGACAATGTGTGTGGTATGTACCACACCAGACACACCAGAGCTCTATCCCAACCCCAGAGCTAGAGCAGGACCTGAAACCTATATTTCTGAAAGGCAGTCCAGGTGGTTCTGTTAAGTAATCAGGTTTGAGAACCACTAGACTAGATGATTCTAAGAACATCAGCCAACCTTTACCAATTGCTAGAATTTTAATTGCTGTGTGTTAATACATGTTTTTCTCCTATCAGAACTTGCATATCAAAACATCATACTGTACCCCTTAAATAAATAGGATAAAAATAAATTTTTTTAAAACGTGTGAAGGGTGATCCAGGGCCAGAAATGCAGCTCAATAGATCAATGGAAGGTCTTAGCTATACATAGCAACCTGCAGGACAGGTGGGGTTCCTGAGACTCAGATGACTTGGTTTGTAATACAAAAGAATATGGCAGAATGTGTAATAAAAAGAATCCATGGCTGGGCACAGTGGCTCAAGCCTGTAATCCCAGCACTTTGGGAGGCTAAGGCAGGTGGATCACCTGAGGTCGGGAGTTCGAGATCAGCCTGGCCAACATGGAGAAACGCCGTCTCTACTAAAAATACAAAATTAGCTGGGGGTGGTGGTGCATGCCTGTAATCCCAGCTACTTGGGAGGCTGAGGCAGGAGAATCGCTTGAACCCGGGAGGTGGAGGTTGTGGTGAGCTGAGATCGCACCATTGCACTCCAGCCGGGGCAACAAGAGTGAAACTCAGTCTCAATAAATAAATAAATAAAATCCACGCAGCCGGCAGTCCTCATGGAAACGAGATGGATCTGAGAGTGGAAACGGGAAAGTGCAGGCTTCTTTGCTTGGGTCTGTTCCTCTCAGACCCAATCTTATTCTCAGTTACACTGGTGAAACTGAGGCAATGTATCAGATTCTGTGGTTATTTTTTGACCAGACTTGCCCAGTACATATAAATGATGGAGAAAAGCAAGGAAAACAAACTTGAAAGCTCTGCATTTAAAGTCATCTAGTGCATCCTGATTTCATCAGAGTACTAGGGTATATATTAGGTAAATATGACCCTATCGCCCTTATTTTTTTTTTTCTTCAAAACAGTGATTTTATTTCCTTTGACTATATACCTAGAACTGAGATTGCTGGAATATGGTCATTCTATTTTGAATCATTTGAGGAACTTCCATACTGTTTTCTATCGTGATTATGTTAAATTTGTTTAACTTTTATTTTGGGTTCAGGTGTACATGTGAAGGTTTGTTGCACAGGTAAATTCATGTCACAGGGATTTGTTGTACAGATTATTTCATCACCCAGGTACCCAACAGTTCTCTTTCCTGCTGCTTTCCCTCCTCCCTCCCTCCACCCTCAAGTAGACCCCAGTGTCTGTTGTTTCCTTCTTTGTGTTCGTAAGTTCTATCATGTAGCTCCCAGCCTCCCTTATTTTCTACTGCTATGAAACTGATGTAAGCTTTGGCTAAATAAGCAAGGAGTGGCTAACACCAACATGAAACACACACACACACACACACACACACACACACACTGAGCCAACTGTTTATTTATGTATTCAGTGAAAAGAGAATGAGTGAAAGCAAGAGATCTAATGTCTAGGAAATTATTCATTAATTAATTCAGCAAATATTTATTCAATACTATGTGCCTGGCACTGTTCACAGCCCTGGGGCTACAGAGACGAACAAATATCCTGTATTCATGGGGCTTACATGTTTATAATAAACTGATGAAAATGAATGTCATACAGTGGTAAGTGCTATTAGGAGGAATGAAGCAGAGGAGAGGGAGTAAGATGGAATGGTGAGGGTTCTCTCTTAGGGTGGGTCAGGGAAAGCCTAGTGAGCAGAGTTGTGGATGAAGGGAGGAAGCAAACCCAGTGAATGAGGCGGGAGGTGTGTAACCGGCAGAGGGTCCAGCAAATGCACAGCCTCTGCAAATGGCAATATGCTTGGCAGGTTTGGGGAGCTACAAAGCTGCTCCTCTAATCCGACTGGAGCAGGAGAATGAGCAGGGCAGGGCAGGCAAGGCCAGGACATGTAAGGTCTTGAGGGTTAGATAAATGAGATTTTGGCTTTTGTTCTAAGTGTAAGGGGAAGCCACTGGAGGGTTTAGAGCAGGGGAATGACATAATGTGACTTATCTTTATTTTTATTTATTTATTTTTGTGACTTATCTTTTAATAGAATTGTCTAACTGTTGGGTGGAGGAAAACCCGTTGACAGGCAGGAACTAGGCAAGGAGAAAAGTAGGTAGTTACCGTAGAAGGATGGGCAAGAAAGAAGGATGGCCTGGACTAGGCTGGCAGCTGTGGGGTGGTGAGAAGTGGACCGATTCCAGATATATTTTGAAGGTAGTGGCAAAAGTATTTGCTGGGGGTTTGGATACAGGGTCTGAGAGACAGAGGGGTCACACAGCACACCAAAAGGGCCTGAGCAACCAGGTGAGTAGTGATACCATTTACTGTAATAGGGAGGGCTCAGGAATGTCACAGTATTTTTGGGGTAGAATCAAGAATTTGGTTTTGGGTAGGTTAAGTTTGACATCTTCGGAAAACTGAATGGAGATGTAGAATAAGCAAATGGCTACATGAGTCTGGAGTTCAGGAAAAAGGCTGAGGCTAAAGCTAGAGATATGGTCCCCAGCACTTACGTGTAGAGGGAATAGGATTCTGTGTGTATCAGCCCCAGCATCTGGGGCTGAGCCCGGGGGCCTCCAACATATCACACTTTGCAATGATGACCAAGAAAGTACAGCCTGTGGGGTAGGAGAAAAGCTAGGAAAATGTTTTCAGTAATTTTTGTTTTCTTTATCACACAACTTCTAGCAACAATGTGGTACAGTATGGAAAGTGTATGTTAGGGGCTCTAGAACCAGACCTCAGCTTTTCAGTTTACAAGCTACAAGCACTTGCCTAACCTCTTTAAGCCTCAGTGTCTTGACTTGCAAA